GGAAGAGGGAGAAGCAGGCTTCCTGCTGAGCAGGGAGCCCAATGCTGGGCTCCATCCCAGGACCCTGGGATCATGACCCGAGCCGAGGGCAGACGCTTAACCTACTGAGCACCCAAGCTCCCCAATAAAAATATTTAAATTAAAAAAAAAAACACTATAGATCAGATAAATCAAAATGGAATTCTGAAAACTGTCCAAGTAACCCATAGGAAAGCAGGGAAAATAAAAAAGAAAAAGAAACACAGGGAACAAATAGAAAACAAAAAAATGGCAGACTTAAACCCTAATATTTTTATTAATAATTCCATTATTAATTACATTAAATGTAAATTGTCTAATATCAATAGTTAAAAAACAGATTGGCAGAAGGGATTACAAAACAAACCATGACTCAACTATTTTTACAGAAGTCATTCAAATATAATAGTATAGGTAGATAGGTTGAAAGTAAAAGGATGGAAAAAGATACACTATGCAAACATTAATCAAAAGAAAGCAAGAGTGGCTATTATTACTATTGGATAAAGTAAACTTAAGAGCAAAGAAAATAATGATAAAAGAGATCAAGAAGACATAACTAACCTAAAAGTGTACAGCAAGCCAAAGTATGTGAAGCAGAAAGTGATAGAACTAAAAGGAGAAACATAAATGCAGCTATAGTTGAAGACTTCAGCACCTCTTTGAACAATTGGTAGAACAACTAGACAGTTCAGCAAGGATCTAGGTAAATTAGAATGAAATCAGTCAGTATTATATTTTAATATGATTTATAAACAAAAAGTTTAATTCATTCTACAGTTACTTTGGGGTGTTTACATTGTGCCGGTTATTATGTTAAGTGCTTTTTATTAATCATTCTAACACTCTTAGGAATATTATTCCCATTTTACAGAAGAAGAAACAAAAACAAAGATAAAAATAGTAAAGCCTTGTCTATTACATCCCAGAATTTACATGTTAATACTTGCTTTGGGTGTGCTTGTGTGTGTGTGTTTGTGTATGTGTGTGAGAGAATGTGTAAATAAAACATAAAAAGAAAAAAAAAAGGGATGCCTGGGTGGCTCAGTTGGTTAAGTGTCTGTCTTTGGCTCAGGTTACGATCTCAGGGTCCTGGGATTTAGTCTCTAATTGGACTCCTCGCTCAGCAGGGAGTCTGCTTCTCCCTCTGCTTGCTGCTCCCCCTGCCTGTGAGCGCCCTCTCTCTCTCTCACTGGCAAATAAATAAATAAAAATCTTAAAAAAAGAAAAAAAAAAGAAAAAATAGCACATTATGTATATATTAGTTGAAGTCTGTTCTATTTCCTTTCCTGGGGCCGTTAGGAGCTTTCTTTCCCAAAGGAAAGAGTTCAGTGTGTGTAAACTTAGATCCATATATGAATAAAAAAAAATATGTATATATTATTTTTCTTTTTTATCAAGTTTTTAAATCAGCATTATGTTCTTGAGTTCTTTCCATTTTAATATAAAGTTTATTACCTTAATTGCTTTATAGTAATTCTGTATATAAATATACCACAATATATTTATCCACTGTCCTTTGATGAGCATTTAGGGTATTTCCAGTGTTTCACTATTACTAACAGTGCTGTAGTTAACACCCCTTGCATACATGTTCTTTAGAGATGAGTCCAAGAAATGAAATTGCTGAGTACTAGGATAAGCATATTTTTTAGTTTAATAGATACTGCCACATTGTCCTCAAGAGAGTGGCTGTGCATGAAATATTTGTGAGTAGTTAATTCTCCAGTACTTGGTGTAAAACTTTTTTGAATATCTCCAGTGATAAGAGTTAAAATTTTAATCTTATTTTTATATATAGTTCTTTGATTAGTGAGCTTGAGTATCTTTTCATGTTTATTGGTAATTTGTATTATCTGTATTTATTTACTGTAAATTGCCTGACCTCTTTTATTTCTTGCTTAATAGGAATTCTTTTTTATCTTAAGATTTTATTTATTTATTAGAGGAAGAGAGAGAGAGAGAATGTGGCATGAGGGGCAGAGGGGGAGGGGGAGAGGGATAAGCAGACTCCTCGCTGAATGTGGAGCCCGATGTGGGGCTTGATCTCACAACCCTGAGATCACGACCTGAGCCAAAACCAAGAGTCAGATGCTCAACTGAATATGCCACCCAGGAGCCCCAATAGGAATTCTTAGTATATTTTGGATGTTAATCTTGTCTTTTGCAGATATTTTCTCGGTTTGTTATTATGTATGTTATATATGTTATATATAAATTTCAAATTTTGTTATAGGTAAGTTAATCCATGTTTTTTTTTTTTAATGGAATTTTTGTTTTGTTTAAGACCTGTTCCTAGATCAAAATGATACTCTGTTTTCTTCTAAAAACTTAAAATTTTGTTTTTAGATCTGTATTTTATTTCTGTTTTAGTGTTTAGTGTGAGGAGTTCTTTTTTTTTTTTCCATTGAATAGACAGTTATTTTGATACTATATATTGGTTCATCAGTTTGAAATACCACTTTATCTTAAATTAAATGTCCATATTTGCATACATCTGTTTCTTAGACATTCTCTCTATACCATTGGTCTCTTCCAGACTCCTAACCTATCCGTATCAATGCTGCTTTCATCTACTTTCTGGAAGTTTTGCTTTTTCATTCCATTTAAATTCCTTAATTATTAGAATAAACTATTTCATCATGTTGTGAATGAAGATGTTTATTGTACTTGATTACTAGCCAGTATTAAACCTAAAAAAATTCTCATTCTTTATCCATCTTTATAATTCTCTTTTGTTTCTGTTATGTGATAGAATCCAGTATTAAAAGAAGTACTCGGGGAGCTATTACAGTCCAAGTTTTATTATGGAATGAAAATAGATAAACAACATTTTTGTTTAACCCAGGCATCTTGGATTTTATTCTAATTCTTAGTTTATGAAACTGCCTCAGAATGCTGTGTGTACTTATTTGCAGCCTTTATTCATTTTTTTCCTGATCCTTTTCCTTCTCCCATTCTTTCTTTTTAATCATTTCTTCTCTTATAAGGGTGGTAGAAAACAAAGGTATTAAAGCAAGGAAGGAACCATTTTTCTTTATTTTCTATATTTCAGTCTCATTGGTCATATGCCTTCCACATCACTTTATCTTATTACATTGCGTGTGTATGTGTATCTGAGTTTGACCAGAATACCCTTGTTTACTTGTTCATCCTTCCTTTTCTCTCAGGGCAAGCTATACATCCTCCATAACACCACCATTTCTGATTCCTCCAATCAGAATTCAATAGGCCGCCACTCATAATTTGTATACCTCTTGATTAAGGCATTGGTCACATTGTATTTATTTCTGTCACCATAGACTATAAAAGTGTGGACTGTATCAAAACCAACTTTGTATCAGTAGTGCCATATATACAATAGGCCCTGGTAGACTTGAAGAATAAATTATTTTGGCCAGTGGAGAGCACCATGGGTATATGATTTATAAAATAGCAAGCCTGTAGCAAAATTTTGTATTTTTTTTTTAATTTTGTATTTCTGAGGTTGCTGATACTGTGCGGATGTATTTTAGAAGCAAAATAATGATATAGTATGGGATTTTGAGACTTGATTAAGAAAGAGTTGGAAGTTTTCAGGCTTCCCCATATTATCACCTTGCCCAACTCTGCCGTTTAATTAATCCCATGTTTGAAGTAGAAAGGGAAAACTTAGTTTAGATCTCAGTGGTTGGTATTGGCCTTTTCTTTTCATTGGGCTAATAATTCAGACCCATTGAGACAGCTTTTTGCTAAGATTCTGAAAGAGGGAGGAATGAGCCTGAGACTATCCATCCAGATCTTTCTCTCCTGATTCATATCCCTTGGCCCTTGGGAGCTCATTAAATATAATTCTCTCCATTAACTCTGGTTGATGCTGAGTGGTTTCCTTGGCTTTGTGTGGGAGAGGTGTGTCAGTACGGTCCCATGTGGCTGAGTCAGATGAGGAATGACCTGTCCAACATTGTGTGGAGTTCACATTATGAACCACTGCTTAGGACGGTCATGGAAGGTGGTTTGCAGCTGTTTTTCCATATCTGTATGGATAAGAAAGAGTCACATAGTTCACCCCCTTTGACTTTCCTCTTATTTTTGGAGTTGGGCATATGCATACCTAATCTGTCAAAATCTGCCATCACCTGTCAAAGATGAGATAGACCACCTATATTTTTTCAAGAATGATGAGTTCTACAAGGACCCAGGAATGACAATTTTGTCATCATAAGTGACCTCTGGGGACAACGAAGGGTGGCTGTGGAAGCACCCGAGTCAGAGTCTGTGCCCGGATTTGTGTCTGTCCAGGTGTCCTTAATCTGAGCATTGTGAACCTTCTGTTCATCTGTTGAGTGAGAGTTTTTCCCCTTAAGTTTTGGAGGGGTGCTAAATTCCAAAAGTTACTGAAAATTTGATCATTGATGACCTCTGAATGGTATCTGCTATTTCTTTTATCCTTGTTTGTTCTGCTAAATTTCCGGATATGCTTACAACATACTCCTTTTTTTCTTTCTTTGCTAGTAGCTATCTTCTCAATATTGGTTTTGATAGGTTGATATATTTACTTCCTTCATTGAATTGAAAATTCCAAATCCAGAGTAGCATGTTATACTTGTGTTTACTACAAAAGTTGTTGCCTTTAGTAAATAAATAGTTTTCCTCAAATTATTTACTATTGTCTACCAAGAATATGGGTCAGTTTTTAGGAAGCAAGAGAAATGTCTATGTTCAATATATTAAACTTAAATAAACGTGACTTATTTATTTTTTAAAGCTTCTATTTATTTATTTGACAGAGACACAGCGAGAGAGGGAACACAAGCAGGGGGAGTGGGAGAGGGAGAAGCAGGCTTCCCGCTGAGTAGGAAGCCCAGTGCGGGGCTCGATCCCAGGACCCTGAGATCATGACCCACAGCCGAAGGCAGACGCCTAACGACTGAGCCACCCAGGCGCCCCAAACATGATTTATTTTTATACTAATGAAAATATTTTACAAACTTGTTTTCTAGGCCAAGCATATCCTGATGCAGCTCTTCCTCCACAAAGGCAAGACAGATTTTATTCTAATTCTGGCAGACTGTCTGGGCCAGCAGAACTCAGAAGTTTTAATATGCCGTCTTTGGATAAAGTGGGTAAGAAATACTTTGTGTATGTGTATGTTTTTTAATAATGGTGGCACACTGAAGAACTGGAAGCTGAAAAAAGGACTAATAACTGATATCTCTGGTAGCTCTTAATGCCAAAATCTTTCCTGAAAACTTTCTATTTTATGTTTCTTGTTATATTGTAGGTATCCGTGGCATGTTCATACGTGTTAATGGTTGATGTGGGCATTATTGTAATGGGTTTACTATATTTAGCTGTGATGGAAGATTTTACTCTGTTGCATGATTAATTTTTTAAAAATTTTCCAGCCCACTTACATATATCCTATTTAGTAATCAGGAAGTTAAGCTAGTGTGAATGGACATGTGAAAATCCACCAGAAAAATAATTTGGGTACATGCTTTGTTGCTGCTTTAATCAAGTACCTTATTTAAACATTACATACTCAGATAGATTTAACATTTATTGAGCAACCTACTATCTATCAGGCACTCTTTTCCTCAAACCACCTCACAGCAACCCACTGAAGTTGGAAAATATATATATCCAGTGTATCATTCAGAAGTGTATAACATTAAAAAGATTAAAAGTAAGTAGAAACTTAAAATAAATTTATTGGTAAACGGTTTCTTCAGGACAGGGTATATATTTGCAGGGGGGGTGGGCATTATCCAGTTGAAATATTTATTATTTTAGAAAATCAGTCTTTTTTGAATAATCAAAGAAGGAGCTCTATGGCCTGGATTAATTATAATTAGTTATAATTAAGTTCTAACCTTTGGATTTTGAAATTGTTTCCCCCCATTAATTCAAGCTTAATGTAGTGAAAGTATATATGTGATTGAATATCTACTTTTAAACTAATGCTATTTAAAATTTTTTACATGTCCTTTTTTGTTGTTATTGAACAATATCCAATTAATCAGATAATTTTTAAGTGTCTGCTGCCCTACGTGACATGGCAGAGAATATAATTATCATAAGGTATAGTTTCTGCCTGTAAGAAGCTAATAATTAAATGTGGAGAAAGAAATATATATCTTTAACTAATACTGATCAGAATAGTTAAGTTCCATTAGAAAATATACTGTGTTCACAGAAAGAACTGTCATCTAGTTGAAGGGTCAAGGAAAACTCCATGAAGGAAGTGGCATTTGAGCTACTTTTGAGAGACTTTGAGAAATTGTTTGAGAGATGAGGGTCTGCGCCAGTGATGATGAACAGCATAAGTAAAAGCAAAAGAGACAACACAAGTCATTGATGAATAATGGCTGTAAAGCTGAGATATTAATCACTTGACAAAGTCTTATGAGGGTTAAATGAATTAATGTGTGCTGAAGTATTTTGTAAATAGAAAAGTTCTGTATAAATGTAATACATTATTATTGGTTTGTCAGTATATGTTACATGGAGGAGAATGGTCAGAGATCTGATTCAAACACATTGACTAGCACTAGTGCTTATAAACATTTATTGAATGAAAGTGAATTATTTAATCTTCACAATGAACTTATGAAATAGACACTATTATCCTCATTTTATAGATGAAGAAATCAAGGCTCAAAAAGGTGCTCAGTATCTCAGGAAGTATCAGAGGCAGGACTTGAACCCATGCTTGTCTGACTCCAGAGCTGTGGTCTCGATCCCTATTCATTATTGAAATTGAGAGGGTAGTGGATCTATCAGTTGATGCACTAAATGTCTATAGAAAGCTTACCATATGACAGGCATTACGGTAGTTGCTGTATTTCAGTGGTGAATAGGAGCTCAGCATTCCTGATATTTTTTTGATGTTGGGGAGAATAATTTTGGTGGAGTGGTAGATGTTGCAAATCGATTGCAGTAAAATGAGGACAAAATGAGAGGAATTCCGAACAGTATAAAGAGAACAATTATTGATTATAGAAGAGAGGGGTAGCTGTAGGGGAATTTTCTTTTTCTGTCTCATTTGTAAATAGTAGTTGGGAGAGACTTGCTAATAGAATGCGGCTAGCAGAAAGGGAGGAGGGAGGCAACAGAAAGAGGAAGATTTCTTAGGAAGCTACAGGGGAGGGATTCTGAGCACAGAACCAGGGTCATAGATGGTCTAGAAGGATCCTTTTCCATGATAATAGGAGGAAAGATCAGAGGAATATAGTTGTTGATACATTTGTTTGTTTGATTACAAAAAGTTAAGGGAGGTTTCTAAGTGACTGGTGTAGTAGGTTTGAAGAGAATGGAGGTTTAAAATTCCTGAGGAGAAATGTGGTTTGGAAGATGCAGAACGATTAGTCATTGAGCTGCTACAAGTATGGCTGGAAATCCATCAGCTTGGAGTGGGCCCTGTTTACACAAATTTGTGATTTATTTTACCTGCAGAAGTGCTGAGTGGCTCAGGAATAGGCAGAGTGGAAGTGGAGAGTTGGATTAATATAGGGCTAGAATGTTGTCAAGCACATGTAGAAATATGGCCAGTGGGGTAAGGACATCAATGACTGGATGCAGTGATGGACTTTGAAGTCTAGTTAATTGGGGGAGGAAATGAAGAAAAGAGGAAACTGAAGAAAATGAAGAGAGACCAGAGGACTGGAAGCTTCAGTGACAAGAACAAGTGTAGTGAGAATAACTAAATGAGAAGGCTAGGTGAGGATAGATAGTTGTGGTCAGAGAGAGGGTTGTTTGAATTTACCTTCTCATGGACTGAGCAGTTCTTGGTGATAACAAAGTCCAGGAACATTTATTTTGAACAGTAGCTAAATTCAAATGCTAGTATATGTTACCTGATGGAGGAATTAGGAAAGTAGGATGGAAGGGGGAAAAGGAGGAGGGAAGAAGGGAGGGAGGGTGAAAAGAAAGGAAGGAAAGAAGGAAAAGGGAGAGGGGAGCCACCTTCCAGAAGTCTCCTAATGATGCTCTTTAGCAGGGTTGCCTAGGACCAAGCCACGGAAATCATTGCCACATGCCTTTGCAGAACTTTAAGTGTGCCAGAATTTCCAGTGACCTAAAGCTTTCCTGTGGCCACAATGCAGGATGCTGGTATCAGGCTGGTCTATATGCTAACAGGGGGAATGGGGAAATAACAACAATCCTTTGTGATCGGGAGATAATCTAGGAATAGAGTGATCAGTCATGTATTTTTCATGGTTTAACTTTTATGTTTAGATGGTCCAATGTCTTCAGAAATGGAATCCAGTAGAAACGATAAAAAGGATGACCTTGGTGTAAGTATTGAAAGTGCAGTTTTATCCATGTGTTCAGGAACTTTCCAGTCTCTTGGTTTACTAGAAGAGAAATTTAGCTAGCAATCTAGTTCTTGAAATAAAGCTGCTTCTCCCATTTTGACAAATATATATACTTCTATATGCATTATAGCTGTTTCTTTTCTGGATTGTACACTATGATAAAGTACAACTTATAGACTAGAGGCTTGAGTTCATTTACTGAAGTTAACCAAGAATTTGGATTTTCCCCCTTGAATTTTTATTTGAATGTTTTAAAGTATATTTTTGTTACTATGTTTACAATTTTTGGTTTTAGTCACTTTGTGTTGAAAATATAAACAAACATATTGTTTTCAGTACATGCTTGATAAAAATATGTATGTTTCGGTACTCTTGGACTATTCTTGTGTTTTATCTTTAGCCAGAGTATTACTCTGTTTTGGTTAAAGATGTTTTCTTTTGAGTTAATATTTGTGATTGCAAAACTCTGTCTGATGTAGAAAGCGGAATCTTTCTCAGGAGACTATTAAGACTATCATAGACTGCTTTCTGCCTAGGTGCTTTCTTCTAAACCTAAGATTTTCAGGAAGATTATTGCAAATTTTGCCATTGTTTTAGTGACTGCTGTATGTCAATTTGTTACAGAATTTAAATGTGCCTGATTCATCTTTCCCCGCCGAAAGTGAAGCAACGGGCCCTGGCTTCGTTCCTCCACCTCTTGTTCCAATGAGGGCTCCATTGTTCCCAATGGATACAAGGGGCCCATTCATGAGAAGAGGTCCTCCTTTTCCTCCACCTCCTCCAGGAAGCATGTATGGAGCTCCCCGAGATTATTTTCCACCAAGGGATTTCCCTGGCCCACCACATCCTCCATTTGCAAGTATGTTTTTTGTTTTTTTTTTTTAAAACTTAGTATGTGTTCTATAGAGTAAATCAAAGATATAATTCTACTTCCTATTCATATAGTAAGTTTTTCTCACTTGTGAGTATACCATTACTCTTCCAAATTGGGAAGGCAGCCAGCCATTAGCAGACTGTAATGAGGCTTCCACATGATTGTTCCTAATGATATGGAATTATTTCTGTATTTCAGTAATCAGGAAAATCATTGGCTTTTTGCAGCAGTCTTACATTAAGACCAAAATTATTTATATCTTATCTGATTAGAAACTGGTTACTGCATCAGTTAGTAAAAATAATTACAGCTTATATTTTAGCATTAAAATTACTGGCAGAAGTATTTTTCCAAGTTTTTTTTTCGTAAGTAGTTCCTATGCAGTCCTACTTATTTAGAACCTAAAATATGTTTATCATGTTTAGACCAATTGTTGAATTTATTGAAATTCTTTCATAGCCTCACATAAGAAAAAAAGTTTTTTGCTTTTATATCTATAGATAGAACTTTAGAACTGTATATTTCTGTAGAATAAATACATAGTTAACCAAACACTAGGAGAAAGGCTAGTATATGCCTGATGTGGTATTTCTTCCTTCATTTCTCCTCTATTTTAAGGTTTAAGGTGAAATAAAATGAATTTTTGGGAATTTCAAGATAGTCTTTAATATAACTGTAAATGTTTTAGGATAATATAAAATTAGAATTGGAAATTACTGATCAAAATTTTAAGTCTGGTGAAAATTATATGACGTGAAAACTTTTAAGAAAGTTTTATTATGTATTTTGAAATAATTCTTTTTAAAAAGTGTTCAGATGTTAGGTTTTCATAGGATGAAAATTGTGTCTAAAATTAATGATGTTCCCTTTAATTGTGTGTAGCTGAAGAGAGTATGCTTTTTCTTGATGTTGTAAAAATTCATTTGTTAGATCAAGTAATTATTTGGGTGTCAATTTTTGAATGTAAAGATAGGTATTGTAAGTTATAAGCTAATCATTTATTAGATTTGCAGTACAGGTACTTAAAGTTAAAAAATGTCTTTTACCAATCTCTTTGAACAGTGAGAAATGTCTATTCACCGAGAGGTTTTCCTCATTACTTTCCCCCAAGAGCTGGATTTTTTCCCCCACCCCCACATCCTGAGGGTAGAAGTGAGTTCCCATCAGGGTTGATTCCACCTTCAAATGAGACTACTACTGAGCATCCAGAACCACAACGAGAAACTTGATAATATTTTTGATCTCTCTTCAAAAATAATTTTGACTTCTCTTTCATTTTCAGTTTAAGTAACTGCTGTTACTTAAGTAATTATACTTTTGCTCAAATTGAAGCTTAATGGAATTATAATTCTCAGGATAGTATTTTGTAAATAAAGATGATTTAAATATGAAACTTATGAGTAAATTATTTCCATTTTATTTTATTCTAGATAGTATAATTATTTTAATTTGATTAACAAATCCACTATCACATAAACAATAATGGGAGTTTTATATGTGTAATCTTGCAGTTGGGGATGTTTTAAACTCCAAAGGCTGTGTCTTTTTGCCAAGAACTGTATTTACTATGGTTGTAGACAAATGTGAAAGTAACTTTATGCTTAATTAAATAAATTTTAATTGACTTTAAAGACTTGTTTGGTATTGATAATAATAATAAAATCAGCTAGTTTTCCATAAATATGACTCCATTAGTTAGTTTTTTACTTTTCTCAATAGCCTTGAGGCGCAAAACTAATGCTTTATATGGATTTTTCCCATTCGATTATCTTACCAAGAATGTGCCCTCTTTCTTGCAAGTAGACATGAATGACCAAAAGCAATAAATTAATACGCTCTTGAAAGTCAACATTGATTATATTTAATTGATTAATATTTTAAAGAAAACCAGGATATTGTCTAAATGGTAATTTTTCAGAGTTTGGATCTTCTTAGTTCATTCACTAGCATCTTGTACAGTTTTCTTTCTGGCTTGCTTTTCTCTTAATTTGCAAGATATTTACTGTTTTTAGTGGGGAATGTTGAAATTTACTTTAGGAACATTGTATTTAGACTCAATTTAATATCTTTAGAATGTTTCCTTAACCTTCTTAACCTGTTTCCTCAGGTTTGTATTCTATTATTAGTCTTCTCCCACATTAATATGATTATGAAAGGAAAGCTAAGTATAGCTAATAAGTCTTACAATACTTCTTTTTTTTTTAAAGATTTTATTTATTTGACAGAGAGAGACAGCGAGAGAGGGAACACCAGCAGAGGGAATGGGAGAGGGAGAAGCAGGCTTCCCGCGGAGCAGGGAGCCCAGTGCGGGGCTCGATCCCAGGACTCTGGGCAGACGCTTAACGACTGAGCCACCAAGGCGCCCCAGTCTTACAATACTTCTCTTGAGAAGTTGGTTGTTTTTAGTTGTTTACTTGGAACTTTTCTTCCGTGCCAAAAGACAGAAGATTAAATATTCTTGAACAAAGCAATCATGCACTTGTAATTGGAACACTTCCTGCCAGCATTCCGTAGATGTTCTCTGGAACACTTCTTGTGAGGTATTCCTACTCCCTCTCCATTCTTACCTCTGCCTTAGGAGAGAACGTGAAACAGAGGGGCTTCATGAAGTGAATTGCTTGGATCAGGTATTATGTAGATTGAGGACCGTAAAATCATCATTACACTAGTGTTTAGAAGCCAGATTTTAGGGGAAATAGATTGCTTTTTTAAAGTTGGAAATTTGGAAAGTGAAAGGAAGAAGAGAAACAATAGTGATGTAGAGCATTCCAGTCAAGTGAAACTTTTGTTTGCCCTAGGATGCAGGAGACCTCTTTTGACTTAAAACAGAAGAAAGTAGTTGATGATTATTCTGCTTCTACAGATATGGTTCAGGGTTTACCATGAATCTATTTTAAAAAGCATCTAGCCTTATAACCTTTGCAAACTAACCAATTTTTTTTTCCCCGAGTAGCAGCTACTGTGACAGAATTTGATATGAATGCTACAAAAGAGATGGTGGGTTTTTTGGTGGAATATGGGAACTCTTTGATAACTGTAGTAAGTTAAGCTTACTACATTGTATTATGTTCCTTGCTTGCAATACAGAAAAGCAGCTGAACCCAGTTCAAGAAAATCAATGGAATAATACTGGTTTGTGTAACTAGGAATTTCACAGTTATATCCAGTGGCTTAAATTATATCATCAAAACTTGGTCTTTCTCTTCTAATCTCTTAGCTCCAGTTTTCTCTTTCAGTTTCATTCCCAGATATATTATCTGTCCATATAGTTGCAGCATCTTAGATTTACATGGATGGCATATTCAGTGTTTAAAATCTCAGGAAAGGAAAGAGCCCTTATTTTGAAATTGCCAGCAAAATTCCTGGAGACGGCTCTTACTTTTCTGGCTTAGAGAAAATCCCATTTCCAAACCAGTCCCTTGTGGCTGGGGCATGGGATCAGGAGCTCTTGCCTGTGGTTGGGCAGGATAATCCCCATCTGAATTACATGGAATAAATTTTTTTAAACGATTTTTTTTATTTATTCAACAGAGAGAGCACAAGTAGGCAGAGAGGCAGGCAGAGGGAGAAGGAGAAGCAGGCTCCCTGCTGAGCAGAGAGCCCAGTGGGGCTCAATCCCAGGACCCTGGAATCATGACCTGAGCCAAAGGCAGACACTTAACCAACTGAGCCACCCAGGCGCCCCAGTGGAATAAATTTTCTCTTAGAATAAGGGTTCTGTATGGATTGCTGGGCAGGCAGAAATAATAGGGTCTATCACACACAGGAACAGTTTTACCCCTCTTAGAAAGCTAGGTGTTTTTTTGTTTGTTTGTTTTTAAGGTTTCCAAATTGCTGTATAGTACTGACTTCACCTTTGTGTGAAAAATGTAAAAAACAAAATTCATGCAGGATAAATGCGAAGCATTTTTAGATGTCAGAAATTGTTTTGGCATTAGTTCCTATGTCAAGGAACCATGGATTTTAAGTGAATGGAACCTAGTATGTACGCAGCATAATATGATGTGGTTGCTAGAACAAATTGAGGATTTATATAAAAGATATTCAGTATCCAAATTAGACTAAGCAGCAGTTTTTGGATAACTTTGTTCTATTCTGGATGTCATACACTAAATGGGCCTGTAGGCAGTATCAGTTTAGTAAATATTAAATGATTTGAGGGTGTTTAGTTAAGAAGAGAGATCTAAGAGCGTAGAAAGAGGAAATATCCTGGGGAGGGGGGATGGGATTTTAAAACTTGAGAAAGGCTTGCACTGATACAGTGGATCAGATATAAATCCTAAGGACTGATGTTTCAATGTCTAAATGGGTATAGAAGCTCCTACACAAAGCTAGGACTCTTAAAAGAGCACTACAAACTACACATAAAATCTTTAAAAGACTTGACAGAAGCTTCACTGTAGGGATACTTCCACTAGCCATGACTTGTGCAGGCCCATGCTTTCTACACAAATTGAGCTCACAATAAAAAATAAGTGTGCCACTGAGGGAAAACCAGCAGACACAACAGACAGGAAAATTAGCAGCCCAAATAAATGAGCAAAAGAATAATTTGAATGTGATTTTAAAGTATATTTCAAAATAACATGAGAGAGAAAAGAATGAATAAAAGCCTCAAAGACAGAACAGGAGAGTATAAAAAGGGCCAAGAGGTAATTGTAGAGAATCAAATAAAATGCCTAGAAATGAAAAAAGTCATTAGAAAAACAAACTCAAGGGATGATTAACAGCAGATTGGGCCTACCTAAAGTGAGAACTAAGATATAGAGCTGAGGAAATTACCAGAATGTAGTGCAGTGATAGAGGTGGAAATATGAAAGAGAGGTTGAGGGACTTGGAGGACAGAATGAAATGTCTAGTAGGAGCCTTGTATGAGTTCCAGAGAAAGAGACAGGATGAGGGGCAACATTCAAAGAAATAGCTGAGAATTTCCCTGAATTGATCAAAGATAGAGTAAGTCCAAAGCAGAGTAATAAAAGTATTCCTACATGTAGACATATCATTGGGAGTATGTATACAATTCTAAAAGCAACCAGTGAGAAAGACATATTACCTAGAAGCAAATAATAGACTGATAATAGCCTTCTTGTCAATAATGGACAAGATTGCAGGAAGTAGATTTTTAGTTGCTGTTCAGCTTTCTTGAGTTATAAATGACAAATACTTGTATTGAAAGTATACAGTGTGACAGTTTGATAAATGTATACATCATGAAAGTATTCCCACCATCAACTTGATTAACACATCCTTCACCTTACCTATTTACTTTTTTGTGTTTGTGTGAGAACTCTTTTAAGTTCTACTTTTTTAGCAAATTTCAGTTATCAAATACAGTATTTTTAAAAAAGATTTTATTTATTTAGAGAAAGTGCATGCAGTCGCATGCATGTGAGTGGGGCGAGGGGCAGAAGGAGAAGGGAGTGAGAATCCTCAAGTAGACTCCCTGCTGAGAGCGGAGCCCTGAGGTGGACTCAGATCTCCCGACTCTGAGAGCATGACCTGAGTGGAAATCAAGAGTTAGACGCTCAACTGACTGAGCCACCCAGGCGCCCCTCCAATACAATATTATGAACTCTGCTCACCATGTTGTATATTAGATCCTCAGACCTTATTCCTCCTGAAAGTTTATACCCTTTAAACAGCCTCTTCCCATTTTCCCATCCCCCAGCCCTTGGCAATGACCATTCTACTGTTTCTGTTTTCCACTTATTTCAGTTGGCATAATGCCCTCTAGGTCCATGCAAGTTGTTGCAAATGGGAAGATTGCCTTATTTTTTAGGGCTGAAAAATATTCCATTGTATATATACCACAATTTGTTTATTTATTCATCTGTTGATGGACACTTAGTTTGTTTCAGTGTTACAGTGTCTTGGCTATTGTAAGTAATGCTGCAATGAACATTGGAGTGCAAGTATCTCTTCAAGCTACTGATTTCATTTCCTTTGGGTATATACCCTGAAGTGGGGTTGCTAGATCATATAGTAGTTCAGCTTTTAATATTTTGAGGGACTTCCATGTTATTTTTCCATAGTGGCTAGACCAGTTTACATTCCCACCAACAGTGTACAAAGTTCCCTATTACCTATATCTTCACCAGCATTTGTTATCTCTTTTTTGATAATGGATAACAGGTATGAGGTGTTATCTCATTGTGGTTTTGATTTGCATTTCCCTGATTAGTGATGTTGAGCATCTTTTCATGTGTCTGTTAGCTACTTATATGTCTTCTTTGAAGAAATGTCTATTCAGATCCTCTGCCCATTTTTTAATTGGGTTATTTGTTTTTTTGCTAGTGAGTTGTAGGAGTTCCTTGTATATTTTGGATATTAACCCCTTATTAGATTACTGGTTTGCAAATATTTTCTCTCGTTCCATAAGTTGCCCTTTCATTTTGTTGATGGTTTCCTTTGCTGTGCACAAGCTTCTTTGATGTAGTTTTACTTTATTTTTACTTTTGTTGCCTTTGTTTTGGTGTCAGATCTAAAATACTGCAGGACCAGTGTGAAGGAACTTACCCCCACTGTGTTTTCTTCTAGGAGTTTTATAATTTCAGGTTTATGTTCAAGTCATTAGTCCATTTTGAGTTGATTTGTATGTATGGTACAAGATAGAGGCCCAGTTTTATTCATT